GAATCGATTAGTCTACCGCAATAAGCATTGTGCTTGTTACTTTTGATATGAAATAAAGTCTCAGATTTCAAATTATGTCAATTTTACTACGAAAAATAAACACCGTTTTGCCACTGTTTAATATGCCGTAACAGATCGCTGTAGCGCCTCAGTTCAAGAGAAGATGCAGCACGAAGCGCACGTGAACTGATCATCTCCTCCGCTTTAATACTACCGGTAGTTACAACACGAAATAAACATGAATGAACATCTGATGGAATGTTAAAAGATACAGTACATCTTACCAAAATCTGTATCATGTCTCATGTAATCGCTCAATCAGTGTTTCAACAGCGGAAAGACGTCAATAAAACAGCTTATAAACAATATGTCACCCAATGTTACATTAACCACAGAAAAAACAAATTCAGTGACTATAAACTTGTTAGTCGGCTAGAAAAAATAACTCAAGAGAGGAGCATTTTGCTAAATATGTGCACCATATTCATTATAATTTTTAATAATGCATGTTTTAATAAATCCGTCAAGTTTATGTGACAGCCACCATTTAAATGTTTATATTTCCAAAAAAACGAATTAGAGTACAAATATAATTGTTATTTTAAAGTTAGTATTATAACTTTATTATTATCTTCAACCTTCAATATTATAGTACTGTAGTACCAACTGACTCCCACGTATAGCTAGTTTACAGCATTAGTTGAGAGATTTTTTTTTCCTTGAGAAAATTTGCCATGTACTGCACCCTATAGACAAAATAATCAATATCGAATGGAAATTAATCGGAATTGAATCGAAAGCTTGTGAATCAAAATCGAATTGAATCGTGAAATTTGTGTCAATAGCCAGGCCTACTAAAACAGGTGAAAAGGTTCCAGTGCTGCTGATACTGCTGGAATATCGCACGGCTGGAAAAGGCTCTCAGCCAATCAGATTCGAGAACCAGAAAGAACTGTTGTATAAAAATATATAATTAAATTAATATATATATATATAATACCACTACTATACATTGCATACTTCAATTTTTGCATTTTCAAAGAAAAGCTTTATTGTGATAATAAAGAATGACTAAACGTGTCAAAACTTAAAGGTGCTCTAAGCGATGTCACACGTTTTTTTAGGCCAAAACATTTTTTGTCACATACAGCAAACATCTCCTCACTATCCGCTGACTGCCTGTCCCCTGAACACACTGTAAAGAAACGCGATCTCTGTAGACAGCCCAGGCTCCACAAACAGCAACAAAAAACAAACTGCGGCGACCCGCTCCCCGAAACATAACAAACTGTTCCAGCCAATGGACCGACAAGAAGAGTTTAGGGGGTTAGTGTGCGGATGAGGAGGAGGGAGGGTCTAGCTAGCCTCCGTTTTGTTTGACAATAGTTCGAATGTCAACAAGAAGTGACGTCACCCAGGATCGCTTAGAGAACCTTTAACTTGTAGTAGTGTACATTTTAAACAAGTAGCCTAAAATCAAACAAAAAGGCCAGTGCACCTTGAATCAATGGTTTGTAAAAAAGACAAACACTAAGTGTTGTTATCTGTACTACGCTAAATCAGTCTAGCTATATACCTGGTGCATGACAGAACGAAAGACATGATGATGACATTAGCTAACTGCATGATTTGTATTATCTTAGAACTGTACATTTTTGACGTTACTTTGACAGTCACCTCTGTACCCTAAATTGTAATGTAGAAACATGCATTTTCCGTAAAGCTGCTTTAAAACGATATGTATCATGAAAAGGGAAATACAAATAAATGTGAACTGAATTGAACTTTCTGGCTCTTATCACAGTACTTTTCAAACTCAGAGCACTTAAGAGAAACTTCAAAACAAAACAGCACATTCTTTCAGCTATACCACATGATGAGCATCAACAGGCCACAATACAGTCCATTCGTTCTGAACGTGCTTCTCTAAAATCACAGAGGGAATTATTTGATATGTAGCCCTTCCAGTAAAAACACCCCACCCTTCTGAATGTCCAACTGTCTCGGGAGTTCAACATTACACTAAAAACATCTTAAATGTTTGATTCTACGAAAATCACGCTAGGCTTAGCTCTCAGATTTGTTTTGACAGGAGAAACAACAAAAAAAAGTGACATTTCTGACATTTCTCACAGGATGTGCGCAGAGTTTTACTGGGAAAGATGTCGATCAGAAAGAAGGAACGTAGACAACCATCTGACTGAGAAAAATTTGACTATGACAACGTTGCACTTCTTAAAAATTCCCCGGCTGCCAGATAGTCAAACAAACCAAAACGGAGTGGGAAAAGTGCCTTTGAAAACATTCAGAAATTTCGGCAAGTAAGAGTCATTTTTCATGTGTCGCACACCTAACAACAGTCAATCGAAGGAACAAGTGAACATTTGTTCTGAAGGAATGCGGGGTATGCAGGAGGAGGGGGCTTCGTGGCGGAGGAGGAATCACCGACGAGAAGAGTTTGGTCGCACTGATCAAAGTGATGAGCCAACATAAACACTAACTAAAAAAAAAGCACTGCGACTGCAGTTTTCTGATAACCACTTTACGAACCACTTGGTTTTGTTTTAGCTTAAATGGACACATTGTGGCTACAAAAGTCTAGAGCAGAAATTCAACGTGACGTGCATTCAGAATGCAGAGCAAATAAGCCCGCGGATGAGTTCCTGTAGCGTTCCTCTTGGCTGAATTGTAGATCATAGCTAGCGTAAAATAACAGTCAGGGAGGTGAGCAGAGCTGTGTGATGATCAATCCCTGTGCAGACAGACTGAATCCATACATTTAGAGGGTCAGTGAGCATCTCCTCTGCTGAGAGGGAACAGGGCAGTGGGAGAGAGGGGAGGTCAAAAGCATGTGCTTGTGGGAAGTGTCACCGGGCTGCTTGACAGAGGGTGGTGTGAAGTGTCTCATTTATCAGTTTAACATTTGAAATAAAAGCAGGTAGAATCCTTTTTTAGGCAGACTGCACTGATTGAGCTACTGGGAAAGAGAATTAACTGCTCATATTCAGCAAATATGCACCAAATCTCCGGATTATAGAGATTACGCAATCCATTTGTTTTGCTGGTATTTGTGTTAAGTTTCCGTAGTCAGCAGCCGCCACACTTGTCAAATAAAGCATTGAAGTTATAATACAGTTGTGCAAAAGCCTCTTTTGAGAATGTTTTTTTTCCACCACAACCCACTTCCTGTAGCCTAATTTTTTGGCAACATGTATTATGTACAAATTACAAAAGTATGCTAATAAAATGAAAAGCTAATAAAAATGTAATTTATAATTTGTGTAATTTCATGTGAAAATTACATGAAGTATGTTCACAGATAATCAAGCTACAGCAGGATTTTGTGTAGGCGAGTGTTCATCTGTCTGTAAAGTATATTAACACAAAGCACATTTGAGCAACTGAAGGATTAAAATATGCGTTTTTCTGCATCACCTCCACCTTTTTGAAGCATGCGCACAATGCAGAGGCAAACTAGAGTTTGATTAACGCAAATACAATCAGTTTATCTACACCATCGACACCATTCAAAAGTTTGGGGTCTGTAAGAATTTGACGTTTTTGAAAGAAATCTCTTTTTTTGTAGACAATTTTTGAAAAGTTATTACAATTTAAAATAACTGTTTTTCTATATATTAAATTGGAATTTATTCCTGTGATGGCGAAGCTGAATTTTCAGCATCATTATTCCAGTCTTCAGTGTCACACGATCCTTCAGAAATCATTATAATATGATTTGATAATCAAAAAATAATGCTTTTTATTTTTTGAGAAAACCATGATACATTTTTTTTTCCAGAATTGTCTGATAATCAGAAAGTTCAAAAGAACAACATTTATTTGAAATATAAATATTTTAAATGTATAATATAATGTAGGCTATAAATATAAATATAAATGTATTTACTTTGATTTAAACCTTCAGTGTACATAAACATAATTTGGCAGAAATAGCAAATCTATAGTTACCACACTTGTTTAGCCAGTGACCACCATTTTAAGTGGTGAAATGCTTTTTGCAAAGAATAAAAAGCATCATAATTCCCTGCTGGGGGTGGGACGGTTTGGCTATTCTTAGATGGGAAAGTATTTAAATGTGTACAGACCACAAAACATAATTGGCCAGCCACTATCTATACTCCACAGCTCTGTCATAAATGCTGTATTGTTTTTTTTACTGTGCATGCCTATATAATGAAGGCCTTTCATTCTTTCAACTTTTCTCTAAAAGGAAGGATCTAACAGGGACATCATCTTCTAGCGGTTTCCAATAATGCAGAACAGGAACACATAGTTTCCCATAAAGTACTGTACCTTGATAAAGCAAACAGGAATAACCAACAACAGACTCTGTGTATCATGTGCAGTCATATCTATAAGGGGGGGGGGGGGGGGGGAGGTGGGTGTATGTGTGTGTGTGTGTGTGTGGGGGGGGGGGGTGTTTACCAGAAGCAGGCAAATTTCAGAGATGCCTTGTGCAGCACAAAAGAAGCACTCTCAGCAGGGTGGCCAGGAGTTTACCCGTGGCATCCTGACAGACGTGGCACTCCTCCAGTGATGGGAATGAGGAACACTAACACAACTTCTACATCAGTGTGGGCTGACACGACTGACCCATATGCACATTTAGAAGAAGCTGATACGTCATAAACAGCCATACCACACGATCAACCACAGCTGAAATGCACCAAAACGCTTTTGGAAGCATCTATAGTAGCAAAAGTTAAAGCTGCAGTCCGTAACTTTACAGCTAATAAGCGAGTACATCATGAATCCGTTTTCTTATCCTGAATCACTAGGGTACATCTATAATAAGTGTTTATATTCGGACTATTTTAGTCTGGTTCGGGTCGTACCACTGCGGAGTAGCCCAGTACCTGCGTGACTCTTCATAGACATAAACAGAGAGAAGTAGTTCCGGCTACATTGTTCTGCAGTTCTGTTTTTTTTACCGCTAGAGCACCAAAAGTTACAGACAGCAGCTTTAGGTAGAACCTCACCTTTGGAGTGAAAAGCCTCCTTTAGGCTCAGCAGCACGTCAGAAAACTTGCGCACATCATTGACCAGTTGCATGATGTATTCAGGGTCTCCTCCTGGGGCGGTGATGGTATGGTCCAGGCCCATTGCATCGAGGGGGTTCGTCTTAGAGCTGCGGCCCATTTCTTGTGTTTTGTTGGACCCGGGTGACGGGGACACAGGGATGTTGGGCTGGGAGAGACGAGCACCGCTTGCCAAGCGCTTATTCCCACTGTTGCTGCCCTGACGGAACATTCCAGCAGCCGCTTCTGCCGTTACTGAGCCGCATCAGCCGCAGATCCAAGGGCCCGCCTGCCAGTGGAGAGCTGAGGGCACTGTGGGAGAAAAAGCTAATGATCATTAACAGCTAAAGTAAGCATACAAAGACAGTGGAACCTAATATCAGGTACACAATTTATAAAAGTGCGCAGAATGTAGAGTGTATGACTGAAATGATTTATAAAAAGTACACACAAAACAGTTAATGCATCCCTTGTAAATCGCAGTTAATCTTCAATTCAAGCACAATGTGTAGTACAAGGTCATGATGATCAATTCCATGTACAGAATGTCCAGAAATATCTCTTTATTAAGAAACATTTATTATTAGTATTATCAATATTGAAAACAGTTTATGCTGCTTAATATTTTGGGGTAAACCGTGACACACTAACAGCAGTAATGGCTGCTGAAAATTTAGCAATAACATAATATTTATGTAATAATATTTCACTGTATTTTGATCAAATAAATGCAGCCTTGGTGAGCATAAAGAGACTTCTTTTTAAAAACCTTATTGTTTCCAAACTTTTGACTATTAGTGTGTTTATAGATTTTTTCCCCCGATGAATAATTAATTAATTAATTTTGGTGATGTAATTAAATTTTCCTAAAGCAGTTAAAATGTTGCTCGTTTGCACATATAATTATATTAATGCATATTCCTATTTATCTTTGCATTTTTTATTTAATTGGTATATAAGAGCGCAAAAAGGTTTGTTCAGGTGGATTTTAGATCTGGGTTAAGTGTAGGCTAATTGAATTTAGTTTGGATTTTTTTTTTTAAACATCAGCTCAAATACATATTTTTCTTAATTTACATATTGAAAGGGTAGTTAACATCGAGCCATATTATAAATGCATCAAACTATCTAGAGTTACTTTTCTAAGCAAACAGGTATTTTAATTTTAAAACCCAGCACCTGGTTCCACAGCACCTAAAGTGCTCTCTTCGAGCTCTTCACTATCATTATGATGATCAAGGAACAAGCCCTCAGACTACCTGACCCCATTATCTACAAATGCATCTTACATTCATTCACATGTCATTTTTGTGGCCATACGCTGTTTTCTTGAGCTCTGTGATTAACGTTACGTGACTGCTTGTGTCTACACGTGACGCACGTCTGCTGCAGAAGAATGCGAGTAATGCACCGATCTTTATCATTTAAAAAGGGGCTTGACACCTGCCAATCAAAACTAACCATCGCGCTAGTGTTCAGTGATATGAGAGGAAATGAACTGGACATAGGGAAAAACACGGACATTGGGTGGAGTATGACCAGCTATGATTTATGTCAGACATAAATGTTGTTTTGGCTTGAAAGGTTATTTAACAGAGCATGAAATCAGCATCAAATCACTTCTGTATTATTAAAATCCTGTATATAATTTAGATATTTTATTTTCCGACTGTAAGCGAGCACATATGATTTGACGAATCTAATAACTAATTCCTCTCAATACTGTGAGTTAACTGTTTCTCCACTTCATCTGCTTTACGTTAACGTTACACTTTAGCGCTGCTAGCTAACCAATTTACAATTACAAATCTTTAACAGTTGGTTGCTGTTTACAGCGTCTCAGACAAGTGGCACTTACTTGAATAGGTCATTAGGAACATCATACCGCAGAATTATGAAGGTAAATCCTTTGTAAAAACATCAAATACGCTGAAATGAGACGCTCGCCAACGGACCGCTGTTCACATCACAACTGACTAGAGAAAAACTTACTGAGTGACTGTGACTGACTGACTGACTCAAAACGTACTCACATGACCTCAAAGCCAACTTCCTATTGGCTGGGGGAGTGCCCTGAACAATCCGCTTGTTTTCCTCGTCAAAATTACATGTGCTGCTCTGAGACTGTAGTTCAGTGATGTAGATAGAAATGTATAAAACTAATAAATAGTTTTATTTCTGTTAGAGATACAATAAGGGTTTATAGGCTAGTCATAAGGTCCAGCATAAAGCAGGAAAAAAGAATAAGAAAGACTTTTTTTAATTATTGTTTTTTTATAGAACAATTAAAAATGACACCTTATTTAAACTTTACATAGTAATTCAATGCCAATATTTAAATAATGTTAGTATGGTTCCACTTCATATAAGACAACAGTTAATGCAAAGCTGAAGCGAAATTACAAATGAACATGGCAGTAACGGTCTAACAAATTATTGATTTTCAAAATAATGAAAAAGATTAAATAATAATAAATAACACTGATAAATGTACAATATAAAATAACATTATATTTTTATAAAAAATTAAAAGAAAGCATAACATTGTACATTTTAATAAATAGAAATTATCAATATGGTTTAAATATAAGACTTTACACGAAGAGCTAGATTGCATTATAACTGGAAATGATGGGTGTAGTGGTGAAATTAAAGTCTATCCTGATTATTGATACATCACAATAAAGAGGAAAAACGTTTCTAAAGCAAAAACCGTACGTACCAAACATGTAGCAAGCAAAAGAAATGACTGCGCCTAAGGAGAATGACGTGATTCTGCCGACACCTTGCGGCTGAACGTTTCACTATATAGCCTATACATCCGTGTTTGAGTGTGCATGCGTGTATGTGTGTTCTTAGGGATGTGTACACTTATAGAAGCTCTCGGTTAAGAAACGTGCTGTGAAAAAACACAGGAGGAAATCCACTGCGTGGGTCCTTCGTTGCCCGCCGTCGCTTCCTGATTGGTTTTATAGTGAACATGGCGGCTGTTAGTAAGCATCTGACAGCCGGCAATTTCTCCATCGCAGGTGCTGTGCTGTTCGCCGTGTACGTAATTAAACAAAGACTATCTTCGGAAACTAATGGGTAAGATCATTGCTTCGTTTGCCTGTTGCCATTTATTTACCCGGTGCCCGATGTAACCTCTTCGACATTGACATGGGACGCATTCATTTATTCAGACGTTAACATGCCTCTGAGTTACATTGAAATTTTAGGTGATTTACTTTAAGGCTTGTTGATTTCTCATGCTTTACCCACGTGTTCATTTATAGAGAGAAAGGGGCATCAAAACCACTGTTGGAAAATGATGTAAGTATATTCCTTTGTCTAAATCTAAGTAGTATTCTTTATCTACGATCGGAGTTTGTAGTGTGTGTATATATATTCATATTTTTTTTCTTCATTTTTTTTTAGAAGGATAGAAAGACAGACAAGGCTGCTGTGGACAGGGTTTTCTTCAGGCGTATTTGTCATATCATGAAAATCCTGCTGCCAGAGACCTTTTGCAAAGAGGTAAGTATTTTTTCTATTATGTATTTATTTTTTGTTTCCACTGGCTGTGTGGTCTAGGTAAAATACCTTTTTTATATAGGCTACAGCAACCATTATTGGTTGTTTTCTATCCTAGTCAGGATATTTGCTTCTGATTGCTGCCATGCTCATGGCCAGAACCTACTGCGATGTCTGGGTGATCCGTAATGGGACCATGATTGAGAGGTATGAACATTTTAGATCTTTGATCACATTTGCCACATGCCGTTATAGCTGCATGATCACAATTTCCCATTATTATTTTTTTTACTTCATAAATTATTCCTTAACATTAGGGGATGTTTTTGTATATTAATCTCACCTGATCTTAAATAATGATTATGAATGTTTATTAGAAGTTTTTCCTATATTTGTTGTATTTGTAGTCCAGTGTGTTTCTCAGTGGTATGAATACATCTGGGTGCCATTGCTAGTGGAACATGCCTGATCAGTTAAATGCTGTCTGTCCTGTTTTTCTTGTAATGTGTACCGACTACATGCACTCAATGACTGTTATTCAATGCGTGTGTGTGTGTGTGTGTGTGTGTGTGTGTGTGTGTGTGTGTGTGTGTGTGTGGTTTGCAGTGCAATTATTGGACGCTCGACAACTGCTTTCAAAAGACACTTGGTCAACTTTATCACAGTCATGCCTTTTGTAAGTGGACTAAACTTTGCACAATTTTAAACTTTGTCCTATTTGAACTGTGTCCAAATTAGCTTGACACGCCATTCATATAATTTATATGATAACATAATGTTTAATTCATTTCAGTATTAAATATTTGAGGCTATTTTTTAATAAAGTGATCATAACATAGATCATTTGTTCTAGTTATTAAAATGTAGTTAGCATATAATAAACAGGGTAATTATGCATTATTTAAAGGTAATGTATTTACATATTTTAGTACCTGTTGTTTTTTCTTTAACTATGTATTTCATACAGATTTATTTGAGAAAAATGTTTTTTGTCTTTTTGTGTGACTCATCAGATAGCTCTAGTGAATAACTTCTTAAAGCTGGGACTCGACCAACTGAAGCTGTGCTTCAGAGTAAGACTGACCAATCAACTTTACAATGACTACCTGACGTAAGTGATTTTCGTCAACTGGTGAATGATGCTTAAATTGAATCCAGCCTTATCATATTTCTGTTCTGTCCATTTTCTGTTCATATCCATTTTTAGTTAACTCTATTAGCATTTTTTTCCCTTATACAGTCAAATACAGAAATCAGGGTTGTGCCATTCAAAATTCAGTTTCGTTTTCCAAAAAAGTAATTAAGTAACATAATTAGTGAAGTTTTGGGGAGATTAGCGTAATATTATAAAGCATTACTTTTAAAAGTAACTATTATAAGTGTAATTCTTCACTAGAAAAGCACTGCTGTATGTTTTACAACACTATATCTTACAATAGGGGGTTCACATACTATCAGATTGGCAACTTAGACAACCGCATTGCCAACCCAGACCAGCTGATAACCCAAGATGTGGAGAAGTTCTGTAACAGTGTGGTGGACCTCTATTCCAATGTTAGCAAGGTAACACAGAGCAACACTCACTCTGTTACAGCAAAAAAGAACACATCCTTGGTCATTCTGAACCATATATTAAGATGTCTTCAGTTTGAGATTTCCTGATTATTTTTCTTTTTCCTCCAGCCTCTACTAGACATATTAATCTACATCTGCAAACTCAACACAGCCATTGGTACTCTTGTAAGTGTCAGTTTTAAGTAATTTACCAGCAGTGTTGTGTAAGGTACTCTAAAAAAGTAATTAATTACTAGCTAATAATTACATCTTCAGCAGTATATTAAGCCATATTCGGATGGGATTTTACATGGAGATGTGGGGTAATTATTACCAGGGCTTCTCAGTGATTTTAGTCCAGTCCGAATGTGCCATCTCTGTATTCATTACGGACAATGTCAGTAAAGATTACGGCGACTTTTACCCTCTGGAAAAATGATCTCAGGGAATGCTAATCCCGTCTGAATGCGAATGTTGTATTATCCTAACGCTTCTCCTCTTGGGGTTTTTTGACCTACCTGAGCTACCGTTTGCACACCAATCTTCAGTTCAGCATGCGTTCATTTCAATCTGGATGGTATTCGACGAATAAATAAGATTATAAAATTAATAAATAGAGAAAAAAAAAAATGCAAAGACTTCCCATTTTAATATCAGTGTCAGGTAAGAGTAAGATGCTTGTCTAGATTTCGCTGCTCACTTATGTGGGTTTATTATAAACAGCCACTTCTATAAACTCGTGAAATTTACTTAAATAGGGTTTTCAAATAATTTAAAATGATATCAATAAATAATAACTTAAGACATATACGTCATACGTGATGCACGTAAGCACAGCACATGACCTTCTGGAATGCCCACGTCTAGAAAACACACACTCCCACCACTGTAATAAACACAGAGATGTTAGTCGAACTGGTATGTGAAATCACAGACATCCAGTGATAAGAATTGAAACTCAAACGTCGTTTTGAAAACTAGTCCCATCCGAATAGGGCTTTAGATTACTGTTCTAATTACTCTCTCTAAAAAGTATTTCTATTTACTTCCTAAATCCCATATTAGACTCGACCAAGGATACAAGGATAGACATGAAAATAAAACATGATCCAAATAAATAATATAAAATCGCATAAATTATTCTTGAACTGACTCTAAGTATTTAAAGGAAGAAAGTTACATTTAAAACATACATTTTAACACTTGATGTTAAAATATGATTTTAATTCCGCTATGGTTTTATATAGAATTTTTCTATAGTCTTTACAGTATTTCATGCAATTATAACAGAAGTAACTAATTAAATTACAGAAAAATGAAGAGTTTTCCCTCACTTTATTTTTTCGAGGGATACCGTTAAATTATGATGATTAATTACTTAGCCGGTAAACAGTGTTAGGTGTAATTCATTAGTAATTTAGTGCCTCAGTCCCCACGGTGTTTGAAGCATCTTCCTGCTCCTCTGTAGGGCCCTGCTTGTATGCTGAGCTATCTGTTGTTCTCCGGTCTGATCCTGACCAGACTGCGCAGGCCGATTGGCAAGATGACCATAACCGAGCAAAAGTATGAGGGGGAGTACAGATATGTCAACTCTCGTCTCATCACTAACAGGTATGCATCTATAGGCCTCCATCTCTTTGTCTGGCTGTTTGTCTCCTGAGGTATTTTTTGAAGAAAAACGCATGATTTCTCCATAATATTTCAGCGAGGAGATCGCGTTCTACAACGGCGACAGGAGAGAAAAGCAAACCATTATTGGATCCTTTCAGAAACTGGTGAGGAAAATAAAAATAGCTATCCGTTATCTAATCCATATACAATGTTAGTATAACTTTCAATCAGACTTCTTGTTTATTTAGGTGGACCACTTGAATCGCTTCATACACTTTCGTTTCTCAATGGGTGTCGTGGACAGCATCATAGCCAAATGTAAGCAGAAATAGCCTACTACTGAAGGTGGCAGCAGAATGATCCAAATTAAATTTCAGCAAGGTCAACATGGATCAAATTTGGCGCTTTGTACTGTTTAATGCATGTTTCAGATCTTATTGTGAGCAATTCATTTGTTCAAATAATTTCTTTCTAAACCTCAATCCATATGTAATTGATGTAGTATATGATTATATCAAAGTCAAATTCAGGTCTCGATCCATTTTTTTTCTTTTTGAAAATGTTTCACTTGGAAATATGTCACATTATAAAAGTAAAATAGGCTGAAAATGGCAATGCTGACTTTAAAAGTAGACTTACGTAGAGTATTTTTAATACAGGCCCTAGTATGAAAGGATCATTAAGATAAATTTAAAGAATCTTTCATGGGAGACACAATTTCTGATGATTCTGTAGACATAGCCATGGTGGTGGGTTACCTGGTTATCAGTCGGTCGTTCCTGGACGTCACAAACCAACGGCATCTGAACAGCTCATACGCTGAGCGACTGGAAGTGAGTATGAATGAACACAGACAAAGAAATCCAGATAATATATTGCTTGTAATTACTGACCTTTGATCTCTCCAGATTGAATTGTCTTTGGAAAATCGCTTTATTGGGTCAATAAGGATTTCCTTAGATAAATGTTTGCACAGAAGATAGAAGTTCTTCTCTGTTTGTTTTCCGCTGCAGGACTACTACCAGAGTGGGCGGATGTTAATAAGTTTGGCACAGGCCCTGGGAAGGATCGTCCTGGCAGGCAGAGAGATGACCAGACTGTCTGGGTGAGTGCTCTGCCTTCAGTACATTCATTCATTGCTTGGTCCTCATGCCATCCATCATCTCTACACTTGCTAGTGCTCACTTACCGTCTGTCTTTTATCGGCTTTTTAATAAAGGGTATCAGTATAAGTGTGTTTATCTGCAATCTGAATCCTTTTATTAGGTTCACTGCCCGAATCACAGAAATTCAGGATGTCCTTAAGGAGCTGAATTCAGGCAAATATGAACGGACCATGATTACACAGCAAAGCAAAGGTCTGGATTATTGTGCGTTGTGTTTTTTGTTTTCTTTTGAAGCATTTTATGAATTTGTGACATAGAGATGTCTCAATGAATTGTAAACTAATAATACCGTACAAATGCTAATTTGCAGTAAAATGCTCACCAAGGCTGCATTAATTTGATCAAAAATAGAGTAAAACAGTAATATTGTGAAATATTATTAAAATTGAAAATGTCTATTTTTTTACGTTTTAAAATGTAATTTATTCCTGTGATGCAAAGCTGAATTTTCAGCATCATTACTCCAGTCTTAAGTGTCACATGATCCTTCAGAAATCATTCTAATATGCTGATATGATGCTCAAAAAAACATTCATCATTATTATTAATGTTGAAAACAGTTATGTACAATTTGTTTTTCAGGATTCTTTCATGAATAGAAAGTTCTATTTCATTTATTTGAAATAGAATATTTTGTAACATTATAAATGTCTTTACTGTAACTTTTGATCAATTTAATGCATCCTTGCTGAATAAAAGTATTTAAGATTTTTAACTTTTAATTTAAGATAACCCCTTCCCCTAAAAAATATATATATTGGCTTGAATTTTATAAATATATATAAAAATTCACAGATGCAGCAGTAGAGAAAATCCCTCTTATCCCTGGGAGAGGTGAAATCATCATCGCAGACAACATTATCAAGTAAGTTACGTACAAACTAAACAAAACATCAGTCAAGCCATCATAGTTAGCTACTTAGCATTTATGCGTTTGTGTAATCCTCAGTACCAAAGACCTATTTGTTTATTTTTCTGAATGTGGATGTCGTGTCTGACCAGCGTATCATCGGTGTTTCAAGTTGAGCTGTATCCTTTCATCCACAGGTTTGAACACATACCTTTAGCGACGCCCAATGGAGACATTCTCATCCGTGACTTGTCTTTTGAGGTAACTGCTCCATAAATAAAATGTTTTTTAGTCTAAATTTGTTTTTTAGATTGTATAACAGGGTTTTGCGATCTGGTTTTGGTAATTGCCATCTTCCCTCCTTGCATTAAGGTGTCATCTGGGACAAATGTGTTGGTCTGTGGGCCCAACGGCTGTGGGAAGAGTTCCCTCTTCAGGGTTCTGGGAGAGGTCAGAGCTGTTCTTCAGCAGAATTATGTGTCTTTACAAACCTCAGTGTTTTTTATTGTTGTTGTTGTTGACTTACATTGTCTTTCTTTGCTTCCCAAGCTGTGGCCTTTGTATGGAGGACAGCTCACAAAACCAGAGAGAGGGAAGCTCTTCTATGTTCCTCAGGTGGGCATTTTCACACTGAGGTCTTTCATGCCAGCAGGTTAAATGTGAAAATGTTCTCCTATATATTTTCCAGGTTCATTTGTTTGTATTTTTCTTCAGAGGCCCTACATGACACTGGGTTCCCTCAGAGATCAGGTGATTTATCCAGACACACATGAAGACCAAAAGAAGAAAGGAATATCTGATCGGGTGAGTTTTATAATCAAATGGACAGCAAAATTAGATGTTATGTGATAAAGGGATAGTTCACCCATAAATGAAAATTCTGTCATCATTTACTCACCCTGATGTTGTTCAAAATCCAGACGACTTTTGTTTATCTTCAAAATACAAAAAAATACATTTCTGTCCGTCCACTGAAAGTCCATTCCATCAAAACTTTGTTGCTTTAAAGAGATTATTAAAGAAAATAGATGACAAAAGAAATCCATATAAATCAAACGGTTTAATCCAAGTCTTCAAAAGTGACATGATGAACAAATTTAATTAACTTTTATTCACATATAAACATTGATGAACAGTGCACAAACATAGAGAACGGAAGCTCAAATGTACTTGCTTGACGTGTGAGAACCGATGAGGTTTGTTCTCATTTGAACTCCTGTTGACCATGTTTGATGTGCTCTAGGTACGTATGTGCGTTGATCAGTTGTTTATATATTAAATCTATTCATCATATAAAACGATCGTGTCTTCACTTGCTTTGGTCCGGACCAAATAATTTTTTTTTTTTTGGTACGGTTCGCTTTCACACTGCTCTTTTTGCAAGTGAACCAAAATTTGTGAACAAAACCACACGTGTGCTAAGGTCGTCCATTCCTTGGACAAGGATTCTCAAGTAGGGAAATCAGGAAGTGCAAAAAAGGCTTAACGTAAATTAGCGCAGCATCATCCTGGTATTGTAACTATCGTTACATTAAATGAACTGCAAATGTTTTTGTTTTTTTTGCATCTATGTGCGATTAGACTAAAGAGAACGCTCTGTATGTGAATGTCCTGATGCACACACTCATTCATTCATCCATTCCAATGATGCACACACGACGCGCAGAAAGACGCGCAACGGATGTAATGTATTAGGCTACAACAGATCACTTTCCCATAACACAACTCCGACTACGGAAAGCCTGTTAACTCAAAGGCGCAGTGCTTTCTTGCAATTGGGTCGGTTCATGTTCACACCGTAAACGAACCGTACCAGAGTTCGTTTGGAACCGTACCGAGACCACCTCTTCAGCTGGGTCTCGGTTCGGTTGTTTGGTCCGCACCCGAGTTCGATTGCTGTATTCACACCTGCCCAAAAGGTCCGCACCAAGGGGGGAAACGAACTAGAGTTCGATTCAATCGAACCAAACAAGGCAGGTGTGAATACACCCTTAAACTGCTCGATTCATATAGACTACTTTTACGATCTCCTTATGAACTTTTCGTAGAGTAAAAAGTTTTGGAGTAATAGACCTTCAATGGAGGGAAGGAAATCTCCCAGATTTCATTAAAAATATCTTCATTTGTGTTTTGAAAATGAACAAAAGACTTACGGGTTTAGACTTTAGATTTTTTGGTGAACTATCACTTTAAAACAGTAACGTACTTAAAAATGAAAGTTCTGTCATTATTTATTCACCCACATGTTGATTGAAGCTCCAAAAAGTACAGAAAGCAGCATAAAATGTGTGCATGTTACTTGTATGTTAAGTTTGCTTCTCAAACAACACTATCATATGAATTCAGAAAGACTTGGAATATAATGCAAAAACCATATAGACTATTTTTATTATGTTCTTTTTTTGGAGCTTGACAGTCAACTTTCGTTTTATGAAACCGAACAATGAATTTAGACATTCTGCTAAATGTCTCACTGTGTTTCACAGAAGGAAAAAAGGTTTTGAGTGAATAAACATTGAGGAAAATTGTAATTATTGGGTGAACTGTTCCTTAAGTAATGTACTTGATTAGTAAACTGTAGTGTTACTGTTATTATATATTGTGTAATTGTGGTCAGGTGCTTAAGGAATATCTGGACAATGTCCAGCTGGGACATATCCTGGACAGAGAGGGCAGCTGGGAGAGTGTGCAGGACTGGATGGATGTCCTCAGTGGCGGAGAAAAGCAGAGGATGGCTGTAAGCTCTAATTCTTGTATTATCTCTTTTTTAAAGTAGGCATGAAATGGAAGTTGCCATAGTCGTTTCTCTCTTCTTCCTTATTGTGATGTATATTCGAGTGAAACGGCTTTTCGAACAACAAAAAATGTAGGGCGGGACTTGATTTTTGTCCATTGGGAATTGATTGGATGGTTGTGGTTTGCTATTGCTCTGATGTCATGTGAGTGACAGGTTGTCCCGCCCTCACACCAGTAAACATCATCAGAGAAGAGAAGAGATGATTTGTTGCTGCAAGAGGGAGGGGAAGTTATTTTGATTAAAGATTATGAGGACACATGCATAAAAAAAGAAATCTGTGAAATATAAATAATCTATAATAAAAACAAGAATTGTCCATTTTGATATCATGGTGACTTTAAACCTGAAACATCACTCTCTTTAGGGTGAGACAGAGACAGATATTAATGTGGCCTGTATAAGATCAGAAAGCCCAAATGTTCATATCTTGAGGAACTTAACTCTATATTGAATTGCACAGATGGCTCGTCTGTTCTACCACAAGCCCCAGTTTGCTATTCTGGATGAGTGCACCAGTGCTGTAAGCGTTGATGTGGAGGACTTCATCTACAGCCACTGTCGAAAGGTAGTCAGGTGTCATCGTCTTATTCACAATGAATGCAAAAATGTTTGGTGGGGGGGAGAGAAGTTATGTACAGTGAGCCAGCAAGTGGTCACCCCACCATGCTCATTTTCTGTGACAGAAGTGAGGAAGTCAGGAATGTATTCCATATACAGGAACATCTGTCTCCCTGAGCTCAGCTGGAATCATCTGTTTTCTCCTTTAGGTTGGCATCACACTGTTCACAGTCTCCCATAGGAAATCTCTATGGAAGCACCACGAGGTACAATCTTGTCTTCCATCATAAAGTTGGCAGGATTCATTAGAAAACTGAAAGTACTAAAATAAAGTAAAACTGAAAAAGTAATGTGCGGTGAAGTCTTAAACCTCATGGTTTCTCTTTTCTACAGTATTATTTGCAGATGGATGGAAGAGGAAACTACGAGTTTAAATCCATCTCAAAGGAAACAGTGGAGTTTGGATCATAATAATAACTTTGGGCCTTATTCATGAGCAAATCATTAAAGTTTTTTCAGTTAAATTTCTGCAAGAATGGTTTTACGCAGAGATTTGCTCTGCTCGTGTTATGAATGAGGCCTATTGGTACTAAATGTGGATCTGAAGCAATATTCTGGAGTTCTCTTTATATTATAAGATGTTAAATATAACTGCTTTTCTTCGTCTGAGGGAAAGGATTGTAACTCTGTGGATAAAGATCTCTCAGGGAGAGGTTATCTGTGGTAAGGAATAAAACTGGGTTTGATATTCTTTTAAAAATCAAGCATTTGTATTATAAAGTAGTGATATTTGTTGTTGGTACTTGATTTATGTTTGTAAATAACACTGTTGCATGCCACTGGTACAATAATGAGTTCATCATAACACCATGGAAACTGTATTATTTAAGTGTAATGAGCTGTCTTTCTGAATTTAATTTTATGGAAAATTAATTTTAAGATATAATGAAGCTTAATAATATATGTTTGAGAACCTATTGGATATTTATATACGTGTATACATAGTGCCTTACAGACATGTTTTACTGAATTACAAAACATACAATCAAATCTGTGTGATTATTTGAAAAGAAACCTGGAATTAATTTTAATCCCACATTGTTTTGTACAAGATTTTTTTTTTTTTTTATACTTATTTGGTTTTGACATTCACATATGCACATTTGTTTGCATTTCACTTTATTTCTTGTTTAAGGTCAAAGTCTTTAATAGAAAAATACAAGACTTTTCTCATCCTTACTGTAGCTGACCACAAGGGTGAGCTACTGAGACGAGAATGCAAGAATATTAAGTGTCTCTGCTCCATTTAATTGTCAGATAGTGTTGCACAAGCTTTCCTTGTCATTTGGGTTTTTTGTTTAAACAAAAAGTATCCTTTTAATTCTCAAATTGTGTTTCACAATCTGAACAAGTTTTTTTTTTTGTAGTTATTGGGGATTTTTGTTTAAACAAAAATGGAAAAGAAAAAAGGAATCACTCCCCCAAAAGAGCATATTCTGCTGCATTCTTCCTCATTTTTGATTGCGTAACTCCTTTTACACAAGTCATTACACAGCATAACTCAATGATGCCACTAAATCCTGGAGTTTTGTTTTGCTACCTCTTAAAAAAAACACACTTAATAACTTAATAATTTATTTAAAGTTCAATGAAGTATCAGTTACATTTAAAAAATATATTATGCACATTAAATATTTTCCATCTAGATATAAATATATATATATACACACACACACACACACAGCAGCTAATACCCATGTATTTCTAAAGAAAATAATAAATATGGCAGTTTAATAAACTAATACACTGTTCTATTAGTTTATAAAAAATAAAATAAAAGCAAAAGTCTGATATGTATAACATATCGTGTAGAGTTAGTGTTTCATAGAAACCAGTCCAGTGCTGCACTGCAGGTGTGCTACGCACACACCGGTCCCTCCCAGAGCAAAAACGGTTACAGTCCAGCTGTGCGTCCCGTTTTGAGCTTGATCAGCAGAAATGGTGGATTCCTCTCTAGACTATGGCTTCCTTGGCCGTAATTTTTTGTCTTTGTGCTCGTTTACAGCACACCACAATCAGAACGATTACAGCAATTACAAAAGCCAGAATAATGACTGCTCCTCCTCCAATCACAGCAGGTTCATACTCTATGAAGAAAGAAAAAAGGAATTTTATTCATCATAGATATTACAACTACAGAGTATATAATGAATAATAGTGGAAAGCTTAGCTATATGGCATTTTGGCCATTTTAAATGCCAATCTGACACAGAATTTAAGTTATTGCTCAAATCCAGTTCATGTAACGGTTCTGTGCTAGTTTGTATAAAGGTCCAGTGATAAATAAGTTCATCAACTATTTGTATTGTTAGTTTCAATGGTTTGGATTTTTTTATTTTAAATACCATTCAACAAAACTTTCAATTTAATGACTTTATAAAATGTTTTTAAATTATATATATATATATATACACTAATCTAAATCATGAATTAATTTTTTTTTTATTAATTCATAGATAAAACATCAACCTTGAATCATTGGTTTTATTTTTGAATTGTGAAATATATATATATATATTTTAAATTTAAATGAATCTTTAAAAATATATAGATTTTATATATTTAATTTAGTCCCACACAACTAGATGAAGTCAGTTGAGCCCAGCTGTCTTTCCCTGGTCAGTTTCTGAGTAATGTCAGAGTGCATCATCCTCCCTCCTCTACTCTCCAAGCTAACCCTGAGCTGGCCTCTTCATGCTTAACAACCTTCCTGTTTTCCAAAACACAGGAATTCTAGACAACTAAATCTTTGAGCAAAACTTGAATCATTTAGAATACTTGGATGCCCCTTTGTCGCCTTCCTCTGTCTCTCAAATGAATGCAACATCCCAGTAAAATTCAGTAAGGCAAAATTGTGAAGTCTTGTTTAAACTTACCCTCAAAAAGGGTCTTGTGCTCCTGTGCCGAGCACTTGGGGAGGCTCCACTCTCCGAACATCTTGTCTCCTTTACGGGAAGGGATATATGCAGCCACGCTGAAGCAGTAACTCTGACCCTCATCTAGCCTAAAATCTGCTCTGCTCTCATCCACAGTTCGTATTTTCTGTAAACAAACAAAACAATGTGAGAATTGCAAAGTCGGAGGGCATTTAAAGAAGAAACGCATGCCATTAAATCTTTATTAGTTTCTTTGGCTGGTAAACGTGCCAACACTCACTTTTCCCGTGCTTCCAGCCTTGTTGTACGTAATCTGGTACTTGAGATTTTTCTTAAAGATGTCACGGATGTTCAGAGATTTGCCATTTTTGTGCAGAGCTGTGATGAGGTCATGTATGATCAGCACAATCTTCTTGTCCTCACTCATCGTCAACGTGAACTTGGGTCTTCCAATTAAAGCTACAGGAACAGATCAAAATTATTAGAACAACTGCCCTTTAAATCAATATTTGTTGAATTTCGATGAATGAAGTAATATTTTTGAACTCTAGCATATTCTGGTATGCAGGTTGAGAATGCATGGTTGGACACTCACTGTCATTATAAGGGCAGAATGTCTTCGACCTGGTGAATGGAGGCTCCACATGGTCAGAAGTCATCCCGCGCAGGGACTCTGAGAGCACTTCAGCGGTATAAACCCCCTTTATGTCTAATTCATTGGTCAGGTCGCACTCGGTCTCAGTGGTTTTGATGCAGTGAGGGTTTCTCTGTTTGTCCTTACCAACTCTGAAGAGAAAAAACATGTTGGTTAGGATCACATGCCATAGGGTTTCATTCATGTGTACACATACACATTTATATTATTTTGTGTTGAATGTTGATCACAAAAGAATATTAATAGAAACACCAAAGCAAAGTCATGGTGGTTAAATATTAGTGTACTTGCCTTGAAAATTCAACTGTATATGTGTAATTGACAGGTTTAGGTCCCCATGATAGGATTGTTTTAAAATTGTACGATGACCACGACACATTTTTGGCTTTGGTAAGCTTGCCCACTTGCACTGATGCTAAATGAGACAGAGGAGATCAGTCAGAACAATACATTATGAAACACATCATTCTGCTTTCTCTGGTTTTCATTACAACCAAACCTTGAGATACAACAAAACTAACGTTACTCATCTGAAGTTCACAGATAGGCTACTATAAGTTACTGCGCCATGCATGCTGTACTGTACAATACTATACTACAGACTGCCATACTAGTAACTTAAACAGTAACTTACAAGTAAACGGTTTACATTTGTATTCGTTTACAGTTGTTGATGTTTTTTTTTTTTTTTTAAATAAACATCCATAAAACCCAGATTTCTTACCTGGGGATCCGTTTACGACGGTAAACCAGGCAAAAAGTGCCGAAAATATTACAGTCATGCTGTCCATCGTTAGTGATAGCAATTTAGGCGTAAAATATTGAATCCAATGAATCCCTCTGAGGAGCGTTGGTCAATCAAATCTTCCACTAATGAGCCGTTTTTATAGTGAGTGGGAACTCTCAGTAGTGATGGCCGGTTCGTGAACGAATCGTTCTTTTGAACCGGTTCTTTTTAGTGAACCGGTCGAACCAGTACACTAAATCGGACTGAATCGTTCGAAACAGTTCGCGTCTTGCGTCAGTGTTGATACACACTAAGGTTACTCACTTTCAGACATGCCTGACAGTCCCTCTGACTCGAAATAAACCATTATCCCGGAGTATATTTCACTCCAGTAAATCCAACAGTTTGAAACGTGTTGTTTTTGAGAGAAGTGATGAGCACGAGCAGCTGATACTGCGCATGCGCGTACTACCGAACGCACATGTACAGCGGTTATCGGATCACAGTACAGAACCGAGAACTGTTTCTTTCGGACACGTTCGACATAATGAGAACAACTGATCGATGAGCTGAGCATGCGTGCAATTTTTTTCTGAGGGAGGAAATGTACCTTTCTTAAGTATTTATTTAGTTGAACGTCAGTAAGTGTAATAAAAAAAACATGTTGGGAACATGTTTATCACATAATTACTGTATTATCACTGTATTATTTTAAAGTTTGGAAACACAATGAATGGATTGTAAAACTGTCAAACTAAACATTTATTAAAATAATATTTTCAGGAACAGCTCATTTAATTTCTAAGTAAGTTGATATAAATAGTTGATGTAAACTCTTGCCAAAGTTTTAATGGTGCACACTGCACACTACTGCTTAGTAAATGTTTATAATGTGTTAAAACATAACGTATTAAACATATTGGAGAAGAAAGACATACATCGATTTTTTTAGTTTTGTCGACTGTATATTCAGGTTTCAGCAGTTCTCAGCTCAGCACACAGGCCTATGCTACGGTTCTCGAGTCAAGAACTGGTTGTTGCAGTTCTTGAATCACCAGTACAGAACTGTTTCTTTCGGACATGTTCGATACGGAGAACCGATGAGCTGGAGATACTGAGCATGCGTGATAGCACCGTCTTTAAACAGAACTTTCATTTGGCCAACTGATGATGTGCTGATGAGCACGCAGCACGGGTGAACCGAGGACTTAAATGAGGGGCCGTATTCGGCGAAATGTAAGTTTATTACAAATAAAATGATGAAGACCACTTATGCACTTTTTTAAAGACATGTTAAACATCCGCGTTTGCACATCGCCTGTAGACTACAGGGTTCGTTTGCAAGATGTAAATGTAAGACACTTATCCAAGAGGATTATGACGATGAGTACTATTATTTAAGTGAAGTTATGATTACAAATGCCTTTAATTTAAAGTATTTTTATCCGCCGGGATGATATAATTGACGTCATTACGCGAGGACGTAAAAGAACTGGTGAACCGGTTTTTTGAACCGGTTCATTGAAACGAACTGTCCGAAAGAACCGGTTCGCGGAAAAGAACCGAACTTCCCATCACTAACTCTCAGCTCTAGTGCTGTTGCCAGCCACAGAGGACACACACTCGTCATGAGTCACGAATGTAGCTCCGCCCCTTTCTTAACTTTGGGGTTTTGTCACTGGCTGGGCATCTAGCGTAACGCGCACCTTATAACCATATATGGTTATCCGGGTACCGGTTTCATGAAGATAATCCAAAATCCAAGCTCACGTCTTTTAGAACTTTTGACAAACGCTAATAGACGTCTGCATCTAGGCTATGCTAGTTTTTTTTTTTGTTGCTATATCAGCGGTTAATTTAGTCATTGCACATTTCTGTGTTGTTTTAACAGCATTTAGGCTGTGAATTAAGATTACAATCTTAATTCAGTTTAGTTGTGTTTAGCTAACAATCACCCAAACAGATTTATTTGCAATGTATTTTCAGTTGTAGCCTAATATAAATCATTTAAATAAATGAATACATGTGATTCTTAATAGTATGATCTGACTATGTGAAGTGAAAATACTTTAGGCCTATTTATAGTATCTGCACAAATTATGCAAATAATAATTTTCCCCATTTTTAAATTTCCATGAGAAGCAGGTCTTCTCAAAAAGGCTTTTCTTTCAGTCAGAAGTTCCACTCGTGTGTCCTTCCAGGGAAGATTGAGTCTTAAGTAACTCTGTGGCAAAGAACATCACCAACTGAGGAAGATTTGTAACCACAGTTCTGTTAGCCTTGGCTTGTTCATGTGCCTCTCTGACTTCAGTTCATCGCATATGTCTATGAGAAAACAACTTCTAGTCAACCCCAATAGGCAATAAATATTTGATTTTGTGTCAACCCCGTTACTTGAATTTACAAGACCAAGGACAAAATATTTGCTGGTGGACCCTTTCTTCCCTCATAAGTGGCTTAGACGGACTGCCCGGCTGCTGGGAAACCCACCTAGGCTGTACCTTAATTCCTTACTGATCAAAATCCCAAATAAGTTTTATTAACCTTCTTTTCAAAACATTTCCTTTTCAAGCTTTGGTAAGGAGATAAAAATGCAGCAAAACTGGGCCCGATTTGATGGATTTTTTTTGTGGATAATTTGTCAGATCTTAAACATTTATTAATATCATGTATCAACTTGCTCACATGTGCCAAATAGTCATCTATTCAGCATTAAGGTTTAGAAGCAAACCACTATGGCATTTCTTACTGATCATTTTAATCTCTGATAATGCATAGCCTATCACTGATTAAAATTGTCATGAAATGGAAGTTGCCATTTCTTCCATATATTCCGAGTGAAACGGCTTCTAGAACAGGAAAAAATGCAGGACGGGGCTTGATTTTGTCCATCGGTAATTGATTGATTGGATGATTTTGGTTTGCTATTGGTTGATCTCATGTGAGTGACAGGTTGTCCCGCCCTCACGCCAGTAAACACTTCATTGGAGAAGAGACGGCACTGAAGGGAGGGGAAGTTAGTTATTTTGATTAAAGATTAAAAGGGCACATGAATTTTACAAAAATAATGATGTACATAGATTTATAATAAACACTGCAATATTCCATAAAAAATTGTCAATTCTAATTTCATAGTGACTTTAAGCTCTGATTATTATGAGGCTGCAAAGATAAACTCACTGGTTTAATAGTTGAAAGACGGTTACGTCTGGTGACCTGAATTCAAGTGTTTAGAGTAGAATGTGCATTTGCAGTGTCACTTTGTTTATTTAGTGGTTAACATCTGAAATACTTCAAACTGTTTGGGTAATATTGGAATTTGCATCCTGTGACTGTTTAATTCAAATTTAAGTGGAAGTCCAGTCATGCATGCAGCGTGACATGTAGCATAAGATTGAGGTAACCTAGTTGACAGTCAGGCACAGAGTCTAAATAGTGTGGGATAAACTTTCATGCATGTATTGCCATCATTTGAGATGATAAATGATTGTAAATCAGATTTGGGGCTTATAATGGGCTTAATATTGGTGAACTGGAAAGCCAAGAAATGTAATACACAAACTGAAGTTAACATTTACCCATAAGTTGACATCATCAAGCTCAACAAGCTTTCAGTTTCATAAACGTAAATTTGTCACAGCAATGACTCTGCTAGAAAATATCTCGTCACATGCGTGATCAATGTTTTTTAATGATTATGTAACTTTTCCTCAGTTACTTAATTGTTGCATCAAGAAATAATAAAAGTCGTTTTCCGGTAAACTGGAAGTGGTTGGTGTCGCAAAATATCTTATGTTTATACTTAAAGTTCATTTTTATATGTCATTTTCTTGAATCTAAACTTATTCATTGGTACTAAGTAAGAGGTAAAGCATGATTATGAGGTGGTGGTTGTTAGCATATGAATATGAAGCTACCTTGCTGATTAATCATTTTAATCTAGATTGATATATATATACTCTGTTTTCAATGGAATATAGGAACAATGTTGCCAGAATGAGGCAACTATGGCGGATGTCTGTTACACTGTTTGCATAATGGAAATAACAGTTCCTTTTAATAGGGTGCTTTACAATTTGTCTGATACCACATTAAAAAGGAACTGGAGGCAATAATCAAATTCATAAAACAGCATCACAACGAAAGAAAACATTATGAAATTCAACTGTGATGACAGAGGGTACTGTGGTGAAACATTGCTTCTGGTTGGATGGGTGACACTAAAACGAACAACAATCAGTCTGAAAAAAGAATGTTTTCAAAAAAGTACTGTAATTCCCTCATGGTTGTACTGGATTTTTGTTTTTACAGCTGCTACTAATAGCAGACTTATTATGTCCAAAATGTTTCTTTGTGTGAGAGATTTCAGCGATGCCCTTACAATCATCATACTTTAAATACTTATAATATTTCATACTAATTTGGATCATTTTTATGACCAATTGATGAGTTGAATGGTTTCAATCTAACATTACATGTACATTACATCTATATAACAGAATAAGATTTTACTTAAATATAAAGGTTTAGGTTGAAAGTACAATAAGCAAGACATCTTCAAAATCTGTATTTGAAAATTCATTCAAACAGTTTTCCATTCCTGGAGACGCAATAATGTACAAGTGTGGCAGACGTGTGGTGTACAATTTCCATGACTTTACCGTCCTCAAAGTATGGTCTCAATTATTTGTAAGGAGTAAGAATACCAGCCTTCATGGGCCGTCTGAATTCCATTTATGGTCATGAGCCTTATATGGAACTCTTATGTGACGTGCTTCTGTACAACAGTGTCGCCTGCAGTTTGAATCAACATCAGCATATCTACAGTATCGATGCGAGTGTTCCATTCCACACTGCTTAGATCCAACAGATTTATACTAAAGCAAGGGCTTGAGCCAGATCTACAGGCTGTCTTTTTTTTTTCGAGACCGCAACCAATGCCCTATCAAACATCCAGACATCCTAGCAACTGCATATGCAACACAGTGAAAAGTTTTCCAGACTCAAGTACCACTTGTATATTTTTTCAAAATCATGGAAAAATATACTGTGTAGTACATATTTTTACTGTTAAAACAGACTAGAGGAGAACCAATTCTCTTAAAGGCCAATGTTACGTCAAACCCACAGTTTACTCAAAGTCATGTGATAAAACTGAAG